CTTTCTTTCTTTCTTTCTTTCTTTCTTTCTTTCTTTCTTTCTTTCTTCTTTTCTTCTTTCTTTCCCCCTAAGGGAGGAGAGATAAAAAGAGCAGGGGTGCAGAACCATTGATCTACCACAAGCAGAATGGAGAATTACAACTACTACAGACATGCTACGTTTCCTCCACCACCTTACCTTCGTTTGTCATACTGGGAGGTGGAATGCTTGACATAAACAAACTGAACAGGCGACATGGCCCTATGAGTGAACAAATTCTTGTGGTCTGTTGCTTAGCAACCTGTATGAGGCCATCCTTCTTGCACTTCTACAGATATTTGCTTCCCATTAGCTTCATATCAAAACAAGTGACCTTTACAACTTGGACCTATTCTGTGCACTCAACCATAGATAGCTGAAATTCAGTATATATACACAGAAACACACAAACATACACAGAATCTGAAAGTTACTTTAGTCATAAATCATGAAATAAAAACAACTCCACACGTGACTGATGCCACGCATGTTCACTTATGGTGACTGGGTAAACCCGATTTGTTTGAAAAATATTTATTCCAATTTGAAGACATAAAAGTTCTTTTTCAGAACTAAAATTAGGGTTGAATTCAATCGGTCAGTTCATGGGATGGTATCAAGAAAAAAGCAAGATAGTAATAATAAATACTAAAAATCAAACAGACAATCCCATAAGAGCCTACAACAGAATAGAGGGGGAAAAGGGTGATTTTTCAAAAATAATGAAACGGTTATGGATGGATATTCAAAAGATGCAGTAGAAGGAGATAAAGGGCAGGATAGAAGGAGCAATTAACCTGTGCAAAAATGCTAAAAAGACATATAGGATTTCAAAAGAGAAACATAAAGGAATCACCAAAAAATCAATAAATGATGAAATTCTAAAAAGACTGAGAGATGATGGATAGAAAGACAATATCCTGCAATATAGTAACTATATTGAAAACCAATAGAAATAAGTGGAATGTTTAAATTGGGGAAATAGTAGGACATATATAGATATATAATAAAATTTATTATAACCATAAATATATTACGATTAGGAGGTGACAGATTAGGACTAGGTATATCTAAATGTATTATTATGATTAAAAGGATGCAAAAAATCATATTGGAAAATATAGTTTTCAAGGACTATAAATTCAGGGGATTTAGAGATATAATTTTGGGATTGATTAAATCTCATTGATAATTGGTTTTATTGGTGTTTATAGAAAATTGAGATATTGAAAATGTGGTGGAATACTGAGTGATACCTATAATATTAAAATATTAGTGACTTAATAGGGGTTAATAAGTATAGTGTATGAAATATTATTGATGTTTATATATGTTTTTGGAGGAAGTGATAAAAATCATAAAGAGAGAATAGCACTGTTTAAAGATAATGAGGTAAATATAGAAGAACCCCAACAAATGGGAAAAATAAAGAAGTATAAATTGAGAAAATTTTGGAATATTTATTGATATATAAAAGAATATATTATAATTATAATGAGCACATTAAGGTCAGAAGTTGCAAGGTAACTGTATTATTACTGTGAGCACTGCGTGAAAAAATATGTTAACCCAGTCATTACACTGCCCACAAAAAATGATGGTTGTTAAAGGAAAAACTGCAAATAAAACATGTAGAAAAAGAAAAGAAAAAAGCAAGCTTCTATTTCCTCTGCAGTCTCCAGGCATCTTAACATCTGTTCCACTTCCCAAAATATGGAACTGATTTGATTAAGCAGGGTGAAAAGAAGAGAAAGGCATCATTTCAAAAGGTGCTGGTTTGCTTGATTGTAATTCAACCTTACATCAAGCTTATTAACCTTTTAGATATTTAAATTTATAAAATCAGCATAAAAATATATTTAGGCTGTACTTGTGTAAGTTCCATTGAACTCAATGAGTTTAAAATCTATTTAACACCTAAATGTATGACAATCTATTTAACACCTGAGTGTATGACACTGCACCTTTCTAAATATTAACAAGTTTTAAATCTTACCAGTTTTAAATTCTATCAGTTTTACATCCTGCCATAATAATTGGTTTATCCAAAGAGAAGACTACAGATGTCTGAAGGTGTATATTGTTCCTAGAAATTCATTTTAGGCAAATGAATTATTATCCAATAATACAATGATTGGTAATCACTACCGCCAGTACTAAAAATGCAGCATGCAAAGTACAAAATACAAATTGATATGCTCACTGTGGAAGTATCCCCTCTGACCAGCTAAAAGAGATCTTGTATTATTGGGGGAGGTGGAAACAGGTCTTGGTATTTTTCCTGCTGTTTTTTAATGTCAACATGAAGTTCTTGCTCCAGGTTATCTACTGGTTCAGGGTGTGGCATCATTGTTGCTTTTCTTTATTCCTTATTCACCCGTTTTTCATCAGTCATCCACGTATAATCTTATATCTATAAGCAAAATGTTCTTCACTCACAAGGAATATCAGATCTTCAATCCTCTGTATAAATAAGGCCAAACATCTGGCTTCCCAATGCTACAGTATACTGAGGGTACCCAACTATAACAGTGGTGGGATTCAAACAATTTAACAATTGGTTCTCTGCCCTAATGATTTCTTCCAACAACCAGTTCACCAAACTGCTCAGAAAGTTAACAACTGGTTCTCCCCAAATGGTGCGAACTGGCTGAATCCCACCACTGACTATACATTACCATTCTAGGGCAGATGGGAAATGCGGTTATTGTCCAGTCCCAATACCTGGAGACTGCCTGGATGGAACAAAATAAGCTAAAACTGAATCTGAGTAACAGTTCTTGTTCATCCAACAAGAACAAGAATGGGGCCAATCTGGCACACTCTTAGGAGTTGGCAAAATTTGAGACTGAAATGAGCTATATCCAGCCAGAAAAAAAAATCTCACAATGGAAGAAGCAGTTGGCCAGCAGCTTGCAATATGCCTGATTCTTCTATACTTAAACTCAGTTCTCCTTCCATCCTGGACTCAGAGCAGAGCTGCTATTAAAGATTTGCAGAAGTCATGTTCACCATGCATGTAGGAAAGGATCTCACATTGCATCCTCTACCTTTGTTCCTCACCGTGTAAATAAAGTGGGAAATTTCTTAAATGTCTTATTATAAGGGATACACATTAAATGTGCTTATGGAAATACATTACACTGCACTCCTATGTGCAACTCAGTTTTTTCCACTAGGTATGTACACATAATACAGAGAAACATGGAATCTTTAGAAGTCCAATACTGTATAGTTCAATGGTGTAATCTCAAACTTGTATTAAGTGACCATATACTAATGCTTTTTATTAGCTGTTCTTCATCCTGTTTTAGTCTTAAAACATATTGCCATGATTCATGCTTCCCTTGGTTCGTCCTTACAAGCAAGACAATTGTACACTATTGTCAGTATGTTGGATTATTAGGGTTTTGCAGATCATTCTGCTTCAAAATAGTACCATGCTTCATTAGTCTTGAGTCAGGATAGTCACTTTCTACTAAATTTAATTTGTAGACATCAGCTCCTAGCCATCTATGAGGATTAGTTCCTACTAAGCACACCAGATAAACCAAAATACTCATATCTGAGTTCCACTTGATGTCAAATATTATTGGATGAAAACCAATTATTATTAAACCAAAATTATTATTAAAATTATTATTAAAACCAAAATTATTATTATTAACCAATTATTATTAAACCATAATTATTAAACCAAATATTTATTTGGATGAAAATTTGATAAGATAAAAAGTGAACTCAAGTGAAAAGCCATACTTTTTTTTCCTGATTTCACTTAAGCAGATTTTTTCCCCCTAAGTATACTAATAGTATTTGAATCTAATTCTGAACAGCAGTCAGTTTAGAAGAAAGTCATCTATAAAAACTGACTCATGCCAGACTCCGCAAAGTTGGGAATTCTGTTTTTCAAACTCAGAAGCACGAAGCTCAGGAAGGGTGCAGTGCACTTTCCTTTAAGATGAGTCTTAAGCTAATTTCTAAC